TACAGAAGATGGAAAACGGAAAGGGACTTATTACCATCTTATGGCCAAATCACTTTCCTCCAAAACAGTGGCTTAAAAAATGGCAGTCCTTTATTTCTCCTGGTTCCTCTGGTTGGGTTCAGAAAGCACTCAGTAGGGGGTTTTGGTGTTGTTTTTTACAGTGTGGTAGCTGAAACTGGGGTCACTTTAGGGGTCTATAATTCCTGATTTCTTCCATGGAAGATTGTCACCAGATTAACCCCCACAGTGCTAGGCTGAGCCACAATGGGGCCTGAAACAATGTGTACCCAAAGTGTTTTCATTTCAAATGACGTTTCATTCCTTATGGACTTTTATATTCATTTTCATTTCATAATGTTTTGCACTAATATATTATCTTGGTGTCTGAGTTTTTAGCACCCACTTAAACTGCCTGGTTTGTCTTATCCTCTTATGGAGCCCTGTCCCCACAGCCCTTTCCCTTCTGTGTCACCAGACCACTGTGGAGCTGGCTTTTAGAGGTGATGGCAGGAAGTGGGTCAGTATCTCCTCACCTCTCCATTTCTCCCTCTCCCTTGAGGTCTTCCGATGGACCCCTCCCTGATGGGTAAGTGCTAGATTACTCGGTGGGGTCAGCCACATCTCAGTGGAGGGAGAAGTTTGTATTTATTTTGCTTTTAGGTATGCTCCAAGAGTGCCAGGTGTTTGTGGCAGGGTGCTGGGGAGGGAGATGGAGAATGTGCAATGACCAAAGTAGACATTTAGGGTTCCGAACAGACATGTAAGGTTAGAATAAATTTATGCCGAAGGCCATTCAAGCCATATACAGAGTCTATGCTTATGTAACAACTATGGCTGTTGGGTCAGAGTTTGTTCAAGAGGGGCAGAGAAAGAAGGGAGGGAAGAAGGGAAATTTACAAAGGTCTCACAAAAGCAAGGTAAAAGCTGGGCACTAGCCGCTCATGCCTGTGATTCTATCTACTCAGAAGGCTGAGATGAGAATCTCAGTTTGAAGCTAGCCCAGGAAGACAAATCAAGGAACTTATCTCCAATTACCCAGCAAAAAGCCAGACGTGGGGGGGTATATCTCAAATGATAGAGTGCCAGCTTTGAACAAAAAAGCTAAGGGACAGTCCCTAAGTTCAAGTGCCAGTATTGAAATGTGCATGCGCGCGCGCGCGCACACACACACACACACACACACACACACACACACACACACACACACACACACGAGTAAGGTAAGAAGGTACCACAGATGACCAAATATTGCCTAGTGTACAGTTTTCTCTGTTGCTGTCCTTTTCAGAACCTCGGAATCCTTCTACACAGCTGGCAGGCTTCTTTAGATTTATTCTAAGGCACTAAGGACCACGACTCATTCTTCATTCTTTTCTGTCAGGGAGGAGCAGATGTTCCTTGCTGATGCTACATTCCAATGCACGTCAGCATCGCCTAATGACACAACACACCGACATTGCACCTAGCTGTACTTTTCCCTTTGATGTAGCCAGTGAGGGACACAGAGTGACATTTCATTATAATCTGCTGGGTAAATGTTAGTCATGAGATATTTCAGAGTGAGCCTGAAGGAAGCTGAGATAACAATGTCACTCCAAAGTTAAGAAAGCCATTGTACAAACACGAGAAATTTTTTCTTCTTTCTTTTCTTTCTTTTTCTTCTTTTCTTTTTCTTTTTTTTAACAGCATCTTACTTTAAGCCCTTAAATGTCACTTTTGCTCCTGTCTAATTGTTTGTTTTTATTTTTGTCAGCGCTGGTATTAATTCTCAGGGCCTTGTATAAAGGCAGGCATATCCCTAGCCCTTCTAGATTTTTTTGTGTGTGTGGGAGGGGGTAGGAGATGGGGTGGTCATGATGCTTGAACTCTGGGCCTGGGCGCTGTCCCTGAGCTCTTCAGCTCATGGCGAGCGTTCTACCACTTGAACCACAGCACCACTTCCAGTTTTCTGGAGGTTAATTGGAGATAGGAGCCTCATGAACTTTCCTGCTCAGGCTGGCTTTGAACCATAATCCTCAGATCTCAGCCTCCTGAGTAGCTAGGATTACAGGTGTGAGCCACTGATGCCTGATCTAGTTATTTTTATTTATTTTAATTAATAAATTAATTTTATTAAGGCTTGAACTCAGGACCTCACTCTCACTTGGCTTTTTAACTCAAGTTTGGCCTACCACTTGGGTTAGACCTCCACTTCTAGCTTTTTGCTGGTTAATTGGAGATAAGAGTTTTTTTGATTTGTTTGCCTGAGCTCATATTGGACCTTGGGCTCCAGATCTCAGTTCCCTGAGTAGCTAGAATTGCAAGTGTAAGTCATTGGCACCCAGTTCCTCTAGTTATTTTTAAACCTTACCTTGTTATTATGTAGGTTCACTTACAGCGCTGTGGTTTTTGGAGAGGGATTGACTACATGGCTGGCTATAGAGAGTTCTTTTGAATTCTGACTTTGTTTCTTATTCACTGTGATAATCTAGGAAGATTATTTAATCTCATTTTCTTCATTAGTCCCAAGATTTTACAAATGACATTACCCAGCATTCCTTTATATGGGATCAAACTATTTCCTCCTTCTAGCAATTCCTAATTATTTTCTTCCTTTCTGCTTTATTACTAACTTCCCTGTTCCTTAATATTCCCAATTCTACTCTGCTCTTCATTTCATCTTTTCTCTCTGATGAGCTAAGATACTCTCCATTATAGCATGTAATTTTTAATGGAACTCTTCTTAGCTCATCTTTTGAAATGCAGTTCTGTCATTATATTCCAGCCTAGTTCTCTTTTTTTTCTAACTCTGGCTTTTAATGTCTGCTAATGTTCTAATATGAAGCCATCATTCTAATTTAATAATGATTATGAAAAACATACCTTTTGCATGTATTCCTGCAAAATGATTATTATTACAGAAGTAAAATTCTAATAATAAAGGTAATATAACATGATTGATGTTATTTAATTGTAGCTACCATTTCAATCTATCATCTATATAATATTTAATATGTACAATAATTTCCAGTATCTATCACCATTTTATAGGTAAGAAAACTGATGAGGAAAATTGAAAAGTCATTGGAACCAAGAGAGTTTTCTTTTGTGTTTAAAGGTATCTCTTGTGTAGATACCTTTAACTTGCAAGCTTAGCATCACTGTTTATGGAAACTATTTCTCCCTTATTCTTCACTCATAAGGCTCTCATGGGAGATAAGACGGGATAACACAAGATACTCTGACAGGATTCTATTTCCTGAGTGCTGAGCCTCATTCCATAGTTTTATGTACTGGTGATAATAAGAGCATTATCCAGGCTTTTTTATACTTGTCTACTGATAACATGAAATTGGTGGTCTTTTTTCTTTCTTCTAGTGCTAGGGCTTGAACTCAGGGTATGAGTGCTATCTCTGAGTTTTTGTGTTCAAGGTGAGCACTCTATCACTTGAGCCACAGCAGCACTTCCAAATCTTTTGATGGTTAATTGGAGATAAGAGTCTCACTACTTTCCTGCCTTGGCTGGTTTTGAACCACGATCCTCAGATCTTAGCCTTCTGCATAGCAAGGATTACAGGCATGAACAGGTACCCGGTTGGAATTGGTGGTCTTTTGAGCACCACAGGGGCTGTACCACAGTGTGGCAGCCTGTGGATAAAGAGCCTGGGAAGAACCATTTGAACTCCTGCCTTTAGTTTTCCCACCCATACATTCTGGAAGGCATTTCTCTTGACAATGGGTTCTCCTTTTTAGTTTTTGTGCTGGTACTGGGGCTTGAACTAAGGGTTTGTGTTGCTGTCCCTTAACCTGGCTTCATGTTTCTTTCTTTTGTTTTTTGAGGCCTTGTCTCAGTAAATAAATAAGACAACCAAAAAAGATCTGAAGATGACTTGACATATTTCAGGCTAAGCAAGAAGATGTGAAACTATTTACTTTTCTCCTCTTTTAGTCCTTGCACGTTTCTTTTATATACTCTTTCTGAAATTCAGACATCTAGTCTCTGGGGAGGGGAGAAAACCCTGGTGAAGGGAGGCTTTCCAAATAATAACTAAGATGAAACTTCAGAGTTCAGAATTGTCTTTGCTATTAAAAAAAAAGTCTAGTCTAACACCACTAGGCAAAGTTACAATTTTGGGTCTTTTAAAGACCCAAACATGCCATTTCCTTCCCTTTATGGATGTTGGTGGCTCATGCCCCAAATTCTAGAAACTCAGGTGGCTGAGATCAGAGGATTGTGGTTTGAAGTCAGCCCAGGCAGGAAAGTGTGAGATTCTTAATCTCAACTTAACCACCAGAAAAGCCAGAAGTGAAGCTGTGGCTCAGGGGCAGTGGTTAGGCCCTGAGATCAAAACCTAAGAGGAAGAAAAAAGGAAAAACCTGTAGTATGGTCTCATTATGAGATAGATTTGAGTAACTTATTGTCTATACTGAAAAAGGGGTAGAAATGTCAGAAGAGGCAGAGTCCGCCCCCCATAGCCCATAATCTTGGCCACAAAGCAGAAAGCACTTTTCTCTGCTAACAGCAGTAACTTGCACCTAATTTGTGTCTGCATCTCAAAGCCATTGCTTCACTCTGTATTTGCTGTGCACAGAGCACTTCTCAGTGGCTCTTTCTACCAGCAGGTAGAAATAGTCTGGGAATTCATAGGGGTGGATCAGAATGGCACTTTCTCAGCTGTTTACATGGAGCTAAAGTCATGGTTATAGGCGCTTGTCCTGGAGTGAGTACATGGTGTCAGACTTGATCCTTCTTCCCCGCCTCCTTCGCCTCCACCTCTAGCTCAGGGAGTTGTAATGACAAAAGTCATCATTCTTGGTGAATAATGCTGGGCCATGCTGAAAATTTGTGGCTGAGGACCCCCCCCCCCCTCCACTGCCACGCATTTGGTCACAGGGTAACCCATGGTAACTAAGCTTGAATCTGCTACGGGGCAAGGAGCCTCCCCGGTCTCCTGCTGTATAAAAGGCACCCTGCCAGGGACCCCAGCAGCTTCTCACTCCGCTGCTCTCCCGGTGTGCAGCCAGCAGCTCCGGAGTGGAGCCTGCAGCTGCAGAAGCAGGTCAGCATGCCACCCAACTTCAAACTTCAGGGCCACTTCATTCTGCTCTTCCTGGCTGCTCTGAGAGGGGAGAGCAGGTACCTAGAGGTAAGCCATTTCTCCTCGCTAGCGGCAGCCCTCTGCCTTTATTTTTTATTCTTTTATATAGGGTTAGTTCTATCTTCCCCCCTCGGTGGAGTCCTATCCCTCCCACTTGATTTCTGTCGGACAGTTTTTTCTTCCCTTCCTCTGAGCCTCCTGCCTGCCTTCTTCCCATGGGAGAAGCCCTGGTCTAAAGGAAGGGGTGTAAGACCCTCTCCGGACTGTACACCCTCTCCTCTGCTTTCCCTGGGCCGCATTGGAGGGTCTCCTCCCCCCCACCCCACACACTACCTTCCCGTCCACTTTCTTTCCCATCCCTTGAACTTTTCTCCTCTGGTTGCCTTTCCTTGGCAGATGCAAGAAGCTGTGGGCTATGACCCTCTCCTGCTTTTCAACGCCAACTTGAAGCGGGACCTGGCTGGGGAGCAGCCATACCGCCGCGCTCTGCGTGAGTCTGGGCGCCCTGCTGGCCAGCGATCCAGCGCCAGCCGGGTGGGGAGGTTGGGGCTCTGCCCCAGGGCGCCCAGGATCCCCGGGCTGGGGTCAGGGCCTCCGGGTGAGACTCCGGTAGGTAAGGATCTGTGGGATCCCGCCCCAGGGTACGAGAACCAGGAGGAGTTCTGGCTTGGGGCGCTGCGCTCTACAGAGTCCAGGAATGGGGCGCGCGGAGAGGGATTGCGCGAGGCTGGCGCTGTGGAAGCTGCAGCTCACCCCACCCCGGCTTGGTGCCCTCCCCCCAGGGTGCCTGGACATGCTGAGCCTCCCTGGCCAGTTCACCTTCACCGCTGACCAGCCGCAGCTGCACTGTGCCGCCTTCTTCATCGGGGAGCCCCAGGAGTTCATCACCATCCACTACGACCTGGTCTCCATCGACTGTCAGGGCGGGGATTTCCTGAAGGTGAAGCACCCCGTCCCATCCCGGGGAACCCTGGGGGGGGGGGTTGCGGGGAAGGGCGGGGGGAGGGAGCGGCCTGGGGGACCGCGGGGGGTGGAAAGGACCGGAATCCCGCCCCAAGCACAGGGAGCCAGGGACAACTCCTAATCAAACATCATTGTACACATTATGGTGCCCCGAATTGGAGAGGCACGCGGGGTGCGGGTGCGGGTGGGGGGGTGGGGAAGGGCATACTGTGGAAACCTCGCTCCAACTCCAAGAAAGACTTCACCCAATACATTGTAGGTTGGGTGCGCTGTACACTGCCCTGGGGTGGTTTAAATTCTTCCTATACGCTTTAGAAGCCCTGGGAACTTGCAAACACTTGCACTTGCAGTGTGAAAACTGTGATGCAACCTGGGCCAGGCCAAATCTGATAGCCAATAGCTAGCAGGAGAGCATGGATCTTGGTGAGAAGGTGAGCCCTACACATCCCAGATGTGAGCTTACCTGGCTCGGCTCTTGTGGTGCACGATCTTGTCTTCAAAGACTGACAGTCGGATCTGGGAACAGTAGGGCCCTGCAGCTGGGGGAAGGTGGAGGAGGAATCTACTTTGAGTCAGGAGAGGGGAGCACCAGCCCTGCAAGCCCATGGTCCCGCCACACCCAGTTGCCATAATTGCCCAGGTTGGGTTAGGATGGCTGATAGACTCGACTGTCCAATGAGAACAATCAAGATTAAAACCTTCAGAGCAGAATTATTCTGGAGCCTGTCAAACATGGCAGAAATAATTTGTAGCTGGGTTGCCGGCAGTTTGGCTGATGTAGGCTGTGCTGGACTTACTGAACTGGAGTCTGTGGGATTCTGGGAGGAAAGTCAATTGCCTTTTGTCCAGCTAGCAAAAGTACCCCGTGGAGACATGGCTTTTCTGACAGCATCGCATAACTGAAGCATTGTTGGTGTTTTAAATAATTTGGGATGATAGCAAAAAGTAAAATAATGGGTGAGCCCAACGCTGGTAGCTCACACCTGTGATCCTAGCTATTCTGGAGGCTGAAATCTGAGGATCATGGTTCAGAGCCAGCCTAGGCAGGAAAGTCATGAGATTCTTATTTCCAATGAACCACCAAAAAAGTGGGAAGTAGAGCTGTGGCTCAAGTAGTAGAGTGCTGGCCTTGAGCACAAAACCCCAGGGACAGCACTGAGGCCTTGAGCCCAAGCCCCAGGACATGCACAAAGAAGGAATGTTGCTTCCCCAGTTTCCTTTGCTCTTTGATTTTGAGATGTTTTGTTCACATTTTAATGACTAGAAGAAAGATAGGGCTTAATGAAATCCAAGTAATGCTTCTGTAGACTTCTTTTGGGAAACAATGAGCAAGATAAAAATGTGCATTGTCTATAATTTCCTTTTAGCCAAATAATTGAAGGGCTAAGATAAAGTATAGGACAGTTTAGCAGCTTTAAGACCTATACTTGAGTAATTGTTAGCCAAAAAAAGTCATATGCAGGAAAACACATGAATTAATTATGTGTAATTACTCATCAGTCCTCACAGTCCAAATATACATAAATGGGAAGCAACTAGGCTGGGGATGTGAGCTGTCAATTTCTCATTTAAACTAGCTGGAGAATTTTTCTCTCCTTTTCAATGTTCATGGTTTAAGAGGTTACAAAAGTGACCATCTATGTATTTTATTTTTTGGGGAAAGGTGTTTGATGGATGGATCCTCAAGGGGGAGAAATTCCCTAGCTCCCAGGACCACCCCCTCCCCACCACGGAGCGGTACATAGATTTCTGTGAGAGTGGTCTTATCAGAAGAAGCATCAGATCTTCCCAGAATGTGGCCATGATCTTCTTCCGGGTTCATGAGCCAGGAAACGGATTCACACTAACGATAAAGATGGATTCCAACCTCTTTCGTAAGTGAGCTTCTTGTATTCTCACTCAAAAGATGAGACTTGGGGGAGAGGGTTTCAAACCTGATTTTTATTCCATTTATTTCTTTTTATTTCCATCAGTCAGGTTATGAGTACAATGCATCTTGATCAATGTCACCCCTTCCATTATTCTCCTAAACCTGCTTTTTCAAGGTAATATTCTCCTAGATGTAGGAAATTTGATGAGAAATGGTTTGAATGGAAATCCATTCACACTTAGAAATCACCTAAAGAATATTTTTTAATTCATTACTGTGAAAATGAAATTAATAGTTTTAAGTTTACTTCCTGGTCTATCCTAACTTATGGTGGATACAAGTCTATTTTTCTTCATAGTCTTGTTTTGATCTCCTAAGGTACTGTAATGCATTCTGTGACAAACTTTAATCTCCCCAGTCATTCTATGAATCCAGGATAAGCTTAAAGGATCAGATATGCAGCTGTGGTCCTAGAGCTAATAGGCAAAAGCTGAAAGGCTGCACATCTGAGATATGGTAGACAGATGTCATGCCCTGAACACAGGATTGGGCTAGGTTATCTTTGTGTTGCCTTTCCGGGCGGAATCTACCATCACATAGTTCAAGATTACACTAGAAAGCTGTATAGTTGTATAGCTGATTATCCTAATCAAAAGAAATCCACTCATCTGTTTATTTTTCCCCATTGAAGGAAAAATCTTAAAGAAAGTGAGAAAGCAAGCTTGCAAGCATATCACTCATTACAGGATGCATACAAATGGATGTGACTATTTCATGTAATTGAAGGGTGAGCCCTAACCTCAAGGATAATGTGTTACTGTCTTCTAATTCTATTTAAAAAAAAAACAGGACAAAGGATGAACTAATGCAGTATGGATACTCACTTGACACTGTGTTGGACATAACCTTATAACTTGGGTGGGGGGAGTAGTGAGGGGTTAAGCAGGAGAAAATGAGAGATGGGGTAACAGTGTTTAAAAACACTACTCATTACCTTACCTATGTAACTGTAACCCCTCTGCTCATCAACCTTTCAATAAAAATAAAAGTTTTTCCTTCCCCAGGGTGTTTCTAAGATTAGAGCAGAGTAATTCTAGAGGATGAAATGCAATACTTTTTAATACTTTATTTGTTAAGAAGTCACAAGACACCATCTAGAACTGAGGCATTTCAGTTCTTTTTGAAATTAAGTGTGATTAAAAATAGAAGGAGGCAAGAATTAGGTTTGATCTGATCAGTCAGAAACTTTTGTACCATAATAAGCAAAAATGCAAATTCCAATGCTTCAGTTTCATAGATAGAAGAATATCATTAAGTCTACATTTGAGACGAAATTTCAGAATTGAAACCCAAATTTCAGAAATTCTTGAGAGCAGTACACATTAAACTTTTACTTTTTAAAGCTGGGTGCTGGTGGGTCATGCCTATAACCCTAGCTATTCAGGAGGCTGAGATCTGAGTATCACTGTTTGAAGCCAGATCGGGCAGGAAAATCATGAGACTTATCTCCAAATAACCACCAAAAAATAGCTGAAAGTGGAGCTGTGGCTCAAGTGGCAGAGCACCAGCCTTGAACACAAGGACAGTGCCCAGGACCAGCACAAAAATTTTAAAAAAATAGTCAATATCCAGCAAATATTCATCAGACTTAAGCCTTCTTTCTATTTAAATCTTAGCCTGAAGGTTTTACTTGAGATAAAAGTATTTACTTAATTACAAAAAAAAATAGGATCTCAAATTCTGTGAGTAAATATTTCAAACAGACAGGGTTTGAGTTCAGGCCTTACTTTGAAGCCTTGATTCTCCCAGATGCCTGCCTTTAACCGAGATGTTAGTAAACAGAAATATTTCTAGAACTTCTACCAGGCAGTTCTATTGTCTGGTTGGTAATGTCCTCTGATTGTAATAAAACAACTCCTGCAGCTGAGGACCTACCTACAGGGTCCATGTCAATGATGGTTTTTATTCCTCAACTCTTTCCTTTTTGCAGATGTCATTATAATATATATTCTGTCTCTGAGTACAATACTCTAGACCATGAACAGAAACCTAGAATAGGGGCATGATCAATTTCTGTAAATACCTAGCACATCAACTAATGTAAACATCTCTCTGTGTGTCTCTCACTCTGTCTCTCTCTGTCTCTCTGTCTCTCCCTGTCTCTGTCTCTCTCTCTCCTTACAAAGCTTGCAATGTCATCTCTCAGACCCCAAATGGCAGGTTTACCCTGGTGGTCCCGTATCAGCATCGAAACTGCAGCTTCTCCATCATTTATCCAGTGGCCATCAAAATATCTGATCTCACACTGGGACACTTCCATGGTCTTCACTTAAAGGTGAGTGGTTTGCTTCCTTGCTAATCACTTGGCAAGAGCTGAATTTTATCAGAGCCCCAGCAGATGTGACATCCAAAAATTGGAGCAGCCTATCCCTTCGGCTATTAAAGCTCCCCTTCGTTGCCCTGGCGGCTTTAGCTTAAGCTCTCTTCTATTTCCATCATGCTGTAAGCCTCATGCTCAGGTGCCCATTCTGACTACTTCAATGTTTTGCTTGTGACGTAAGGAATGCTCTCAATTGGTAAACTTGTGGTATGTAATTACAATTGAACTCGCTTGTACTCGTCTTCTTTTACAAAAATTCTCTCCTAGCAGAACCTAGTGTGAGTCATCAGCACAGCTGCTTTTCTGATTATTGGAATTTTCTTTTGATACGAAGGAAGCATCTCATTGGTAGAACCCGGCTAGCGATGGAAGAATGCTAACTGTAGCATAAAATACAAAATTGGATTTTTAGATTGCAAAAAGCACCAAAGTGTTTGCATTACATTTAATTCAATCCATTTGCTTTGAAAATATTAGCTGAGAATTCCTATCAAGTTACTTTCATATGAACTTCCACACGGGCCTTTAACTGAATACTAAACTTAGCCACATTTATTTGTGCTGATAGCATCTTCCCTGTGAGTCATCCCATTTCCTTGTATGTATGTGCTCAAATGCTGAGGTGAAGATAACACACCTAGGTACTGGTATCAAAGGTAGCCAGAGTTCCTAATCAGACAGATTTTAGTGGAAGTCAAATAAATTGGACCAAGGCTGAGAAAAAGAATTCATATCCAATCTCCTCTAGTGGACCACTGCCTATTTTTGCTGTTGTTGCTAGGCCTTGGTAAAAGAATGATCTTTTGATGAGGGTGTATTTGAATGTGTGTAGTTCAGCCTCATTGGTTTGATATTGTTTGTATGTCATCTGCCATCAGGCTTGAACTCTGAGCCTGGATGCTAGCCTGAGCTGTTCAGCTCAAGGCTAGCTCTCTACCACTTGACCCATAGCACCACTTCTGGTTTTCTGGTGGTTAATTGGAGACAAGAGTATCATGGGCTTTCCTTCCCTGGCTAGCTTTGAACTGGGATCCTTAGATCTCAGCCTTCTGAGTAGCTAAGATTACAGATGTGAGCCACTGGTGCTCGGCTCTTCCCTTAACATTTTAGAGCCTTATGTGTTCTAGTCATCTATTCCTTAAAAAAAAAAAAGTATTTCTTGAGGGCTGAGGATGGTGATGCACACCTATAATTCCAGTGCTGGGAGGCTGAGCCTGGAGAATGAGAGAGGATTACAGAGGAGAGGTCATTGAACACCAAGGAATAGCATCATCTGTGCTTCTTTGTTTTGTCCCCTCATTTTACTTTCTACTTCTTCCCAATTTCTTTGTTTCCCACTTTACTCTTTCAAGCCTGCCTTTTCAACACCACCTGCTGACATTTGGAACCTAAAGAATCAAACGGAAATTTCTGTCTTTGGAGATGTTCCCCTTGGACACCCTCTACCCAGGGGAAAGGCAATTACTTTTTTTTCCTTTCACCCCTATATAGTTTAATTTGACTCTCAATTCACAAACATGAAGCCTTATGCACAGGGAGGTTAATTAAATCTCTATTTCATCACTTGATGAAATTATATGTAAAGTACCTAAACATAGAACCCCACACATAGTAGGCTGTTTTAATATAGAGTCCCCTCCGGGCTCCTTTCCTCAGCTGAACAGTTGTCATTATAGTATGTGGTAATTCATGGTGTAGTTTCCGTTGTATTTCAATGTCCTCCTTCTTCTTCTCCTTCTTCTTCTCCTTCCTCCTCCTCCTCCTCCTCCTTCTTTTTTTCTTTTGGTGCTGGTCCTGGGGCTTGAACTCAGGGGCTTGGAACTGATCCTTTTGCTCAAGGCTAGTGCTCTATCACTTGAGCCATAGCACCACTTCTGCCTTTTTTTTTTTTTTTTTTTAATAGTTTCTTGTAGATAAGAGTCTCACAGACTTTTCTGCCCAGGCTGGCTTTGAATCATGAACCCCAGATTTCAGCCTTCTGAGTATCTAGGATTATAGGGGTGAGCTACAACAGGTTGGCCAATGTCCTAAATGTGTAATATGTGCACTTCTGCCTGAGTCCCTATTTTCAATTGTTCCCTTTGTGCTAGTTAACTTATAGATACCTATCAGGCTTTGCTACATTTCTGTGAAGAACAGGATTACAGGCAAAATGAGCTATGCAAATTGTAGGAGATATTACAGAATGAAATTGAGAATTTCAAGACAGCTTGGTATGGAGGCACATGCCTGTAATCCTAGCCACTTGACAAACAGGCATAGGATGATCCCAGAGAAAGGTAGAGTGAGATCTCATCTGAAAAACAAACTAAAAACAAAAGGACTGGAGGGGCGGGGCTACCAAATACAAGGTCTAGAATTGAATCTCCAGCACTAGTGAATTAATTACTTCAATACAGAGAGAGCAGAGCATTAAAGTCAGTACTCAAGCTGGGCCCTGTGTTCTGCACAGATGGCATGCTGAGGAGGCAGCCTGCTCACAAGAGAGGGGGTACCCAAAGCAATTCAGTAGGGCCAAGAGTAGCTGTTTTCTTTGTGTTGGTGGAGTGAGGCACATGAATTGCTGTGAGTAAGACTAGGGGAAGGGTGAGGGGAAGCAGGGGAAGGTGGCTACAGTGGGTCACACAAATCAGTTCTCACAATCCATTCTTCTGTTGAGTACCGTCACATAAATCTGTTTTCATTGAAAGGAGAAAGATGATTGGTGTGTTCAATGAACTTGGGGCCCTAAGTCAGTTTTATTCTTTCTTTAATAGGATCATAATTAATCAAAATCTTTGTTGATAGAAATGATATGTTCCAATGGAATAAAAATCCTTTTATAAAGAAGAAAGGAGAGGCCTGGGAAGTTGGCTCAGTGGTAGAGTGCTTGCCTCGCATGCATGAGGCCCTGGGTTCGATTCTTCAGCACTCCATAAGCAGAAAAACACCAGAAATGGCGCTGTAGCTCAAGCAGTAAAGTGCTAGCCTTGAGCTGAAGAGCTGAGGAACAGTCCCTGGGCCCAGAGTTCAGTTCCCATGACTGACAAAAAAAAAAAAAAAAGAAAGAAAAAAGAAAGGAGAATTGACTGTGGCTTATGCCTGTCATCTTAGCTACCCAGGAGGCTGAGATGTGAGGACCATGGTTCAAAGCCAGCCTAGGCAGAAAAGTCCATGAGACTCTTATCTCCAATTAACTACCAAAAAGCCAAAAGTGGAACTTTGTTTCAAATTGTAGAGTGCTAGCTTTGAACACAAAAGCTCAGGGATAGAACCCAGGCCCTGCATTCAAGCCTCAGGACTAGCATACACATTAAAAAAAAAAAAAAGGTTTCTGCAAGAAGAGGAAAGGAGATGAGTTAAAGGAAAAAAACTTGAAATCCTGTTTATAAAGTACAGATAACTGATTTCATTTAACTCTGCCTGCCTACATTAAGAAATTCAAATAACGGGGCTGGGAAGGTGGCTCAGTGGTAGAGCACTTACCTTGCATGCCTGAGGCCCTGGGTTCGATTCCTCAGCACCACATAAGCAAAAGGAAAAAAGCCGTAAGTAGCACTGTGGCTCAAGTGGTAGAGTGCTAGCCTTGAGCTGAAGAGCTGAGGGACAGCGCCCAGGCCCAGAGTTCAGGCCCCACAAACTGACCCCCCCCCCAAAAAAAAAAGAAATTCAAATAATTCCATGTGATTTGAAAAGCAAAGCATTTTAATATTTCATATCAAGTTTATAGATTCCTGTAAGCACATTTTAGACAATATGCTTGATTTACTCAAGCTATTTAGGAAAGTGATTCTTATTATTAATTTTCAGAGTTCCAGATATTAAATACCAATGGCACTTCCAGGGTGCATAGGTCTGATTAAATGAATCCCCCCTCTCCCCCAACACTGATTTGACTTCTGTCACTGATTTAAACATACCTTGCTCTGTTGTTTTATTTTCTTAGAGACCTCCAGCAGATTGCGGGGAAATTGGAGACTTTGTAGAGCTACTAGGAGGAACTGGATTAGACCCTTCTAAGATGATGCCATTAGCTGATCTCTGCTACCCTTTTCATGGTCCTGGTAAGCTAGTTCTTCAATTATTAATCATGTGCCCACCCATGTTACTTTACATAAACACCCCTTCACCCTGTGTTTCTATATATTGGAAAACAAGTTCGTCCAAAATGAACTCACTGAGCCAATATTAGAAGTATATGTTTGAGCTTATGCACAGTATTAAAGTGCATGATCAAATTATAGCTACGAAGCAAGTAGGAGGTATATTTAACATTGGCCCCAAGTAAAAGTGAAAAGATAAAACTTTCCATTTTTTTCATATTCTTGGGAATCCCTCCCTTCATCCTCTGATGTTAAAGTATATATTTATTGAAAGACTAATGGTTCAAATGGTAGATGTACCAAGGATTGGTAATAATACTAACAATGACAACAAAATTAATGCAACAATATAATAATGGTTAAATATATTTTCCACTTGTGTGTGTACGTGTTTGTTACTTACAGCAAATAAACAATAAAGGATTAAGCCTTACTAGAACTGCTGTCTGAACTGCTGAGGGGCCCCAACTTCTAGCAGCTAAACCAGCTCCTTAGAGGCCATTGCAGCCCAAAAGTAAATGGTCAATCCTAAAATGGCTGCTTATAATTAAAAAAAAAACAAAAAAAAAAAACCAATTGGGTCGGGCATCAGTTGCTCACACTTGTAATCCTAGCTACTCAGGAGGCTGAGATCTAAGGATCATGGTTCAAAGCCAGCCCCAGGCAGGAAAGTCCATACAACTCTTATCTCCAATAAACCACCAGAAAACTGGAAGTGGCGCTGTGGCTCAAGTGGTAGAGCACTAGCCTTAAGCTGAAGAGCTGAGGGACAGTGCCCAGGCCCAGAGTTTAAGTCCCACAACCAAAAAAAAAAAACAACCCAAAAAAACAAAAAAGCAAAAAAAGGTCTGGGAAGGTGGCTTAGTGGTAGAGCACTTGCCTTGCATGCTTGAGGCCCTGGGTTCAATTCCTCAGCACCACATAAGCAGGAAAAAAAGCTGGAAGTGGTCCTGTGGCTCAAGTGGTGGAGCACTAGCCTTGAGCTGAAGAGCTGAGGGACAGCGCCCAGGCCCAGAGTTCAGGCCCCACGACCGGATCCCCCCCACAAAAAAAAGCAAAAAACCCAATTGGTTCAGTATACAGCTGCCAAGCAGAAGCAGACCTTCTTTATTAGAGACCAGTGAGGATTTCCATGTGATCATGTACAGGTGGATGAGGATGGGCTAGAAATGACTGGCCTCATGACCAAGCTAACCAAGTGCACATGTGTGTGTGTGTGTGTGAGGAATTACATTAAACATACCTCTAGTGTGCATTTCTATATCTGTGCTTCAGGTACAGGAGTCTATGTGCATCTTTTTAATTTTTTTTTGTCAGTCATGGGCTTGAACTCTGGGCTTGGGCACTGTCCCTGCACTCTTCAGCTCAAGGCAAGCGCTCTACTGCTTGAGCTACAACGCCAATTTCCAGTTTTCTAGTAGTTTATTGGAGATAAGAATCTCACAGACTTTTCTGCCCAGGATGGCTTTGAACCGCGATCCTCAGATCTCAGCCTCCTGAATAGCTAGGATTAGAAGTGTGAGCCACTGGCACCTGGCTCCATTTGTATCTTAAGAGAAATAAAATAAAAAAAGAAGATGAAGCATCCCAGTGTCTAATCTCATAGGTAATTCCAATCATAGACTCTTCCCTACGTAAGTAAGAAAACTCTAAGCAGAGAGTCACTTTGATCAGTTGTGCCCAGTTATCTTTAAAACCAGGTCAACTCAACAGTATTTTCTTTCTCTAACTTGATGCTGAAACCTTGATAGGAAAAACAGGCCTGAGACAGAATTAATACATAGAGGTAGACACTATGGCCTAGTGTGGTCTCTGTCTCTACCCTCCCTAAACACAACAAGACTTCAATTTTTTTTTTTTTTTGACAGTCCTGGGGCTTGAGCTCAGGGCCTGAGCTTTTTTGCTCAAGGCTAGCACTCTACCATTTGAGTCACAGCTCCATTTCTGACCTTTTGGTGATTCATTGGAGAGCAGAGTCTCATGGACTTTCCTGCCTAAACAGGCTCCCAACCTCAATCCTTAGATCTGAGCCTATTGAGTAGCTAGGATGACAGGGGTGAGCCACTGGCACCCAGCTTAAAAGGAAAGTTTAGATTAAAGAACATGTGTTCTTTAAAATCCACATCATTAAAGCCAGGGTCATTTTCCTGATTGAATCACATGACTTTGAAGGTGGCAAAAGAGCTAGACAAGGGCCAAAAATACTTTTGCCTAATTTATGTACATAATTAAAGTCAGGTTTTAGATGGCTTTAAGTTGCAAATAATATCAGTTTTTGGTGGTTCATGTTAAATATGTTTGATTGTTTTTCTTCCACTCTAATCCCACAAATCCTTCCTAAATTGTTAAAAAGTATAAATTGATTTTGTCCTTTAAATTGAATTTTATTAAAATCTATGTCAAAATAAATAATCGGTACATTAAAGGAAATAAGATGTATTATATGAAGTTTGGAATAAGATCAGAAGAATAGCCTTTCAAATTGTTTAAAGAAAAATAAATGTGGGCTGGGAAGGTGGCTCAGTGGTAGAGCACTTGCCTTGCATGCATGAGGCCCTGGGTTTGATTCTTGAGCACCACATAAGCAAAAAGAAAAAAGCCGGAAGTGGCACTGTGGCTCAAGTGGTAGATCACTAGCCTTGAGCTGAAGAGCTGAGGGACAGCGCCCAGGCCCAGAGTTCAGGCCCCACAACCAGACCCCCCTCAAAAAAAAAGAAAAAGAAATGTATCTGGGTGCTGGTGGCTCACGCCTGTAATCCTAGCTACTCAGGAGGCTGAGATCTGAGGATCACGGTTCAAAGCCAGCCCAGGCAGGAAAGTCCATGAAACTCTTTTCTCCAATAAGCCACCAGAAAACTGGAAGTGGCGTTGTAGGTCAAGTAGTAGAGTGCGAGCCTTGAGCTGAAGAGCTGAGGGACAGTGCTCAGTCCCAGAGTTCAAGCCCCATGACACACAAAAAAAAAAAAAGTGTCCCTCTAGTCATAAAGTAAGTGTGAAACTCTCTCATATTAACTAAAATAACTAAAAAATTTACAGGATCAATGTTTATGATGATTTCAAATTGACTTTTACCTTAAAAACATGGAATGATTTCGCTTTATTTAAGCCCAGGTGAGTGTTTGTGAGGCTCCTGTTACCCAATGGTAATAGAATTTGTCTTCTCAGTATTTAGAAACACCTCATAGAGACAAAAAGTATGGAGGGAAGTTAAGGAAATTACAGCAGCAGGAAGAATTATGTGGGCAGCCAAATCTTTCCTAGGAATCAGCTTGAGGCTGGACAAATAAAAGGAAAATGATTTTTTAATTAAAAATATAATGTGACTTTCAATATATGACTACTCAGGCACACCTTCATGAGAAGAGTAAGTTGACAGATGTTCACATGGATAACAAGAATAGTGGATAAAAGACAAGAGCGGATATTAGAAGTTATTTCAGACATGCAGAGCACTGAGACAGAAAAGGTGCAGCTGGGCCCTAGAACAGGAGCTAGCCTACAACGTGTGTGTCTGTACTGTGCAACTGACCTTTGATTTACGTGCACAACACTTACTATCTAGATCAGGAAAAAATAAGCAGGAGATGTTTAAATCTTTGCTCTACATAAACATCCAGTGGTACATGCCCTTAGCCCTTGATCATTAAACCCCAGGTTTGGTGACACCCTCTTGCAACTGTCTCTGTACATTTCCAACCTGTCTCTAGGGACAGTCTTGTCCCCCCCCCCCCCACCTAGAGAAAGGTCATGGGTAGCCTTTGCCCACTTTCCCACCCGATTTCATGATATATCAAAACAAAACAGAAACAACAACCACAAAAATGCTTCACCCAATAGTGTATGTAAGAGAATGTGTAGAGGGATATGCCTACCATGTTTCACTGTGTTTAAATGATCTGGTGGACAGCAATAGTATGTATGGTTTCTAACCTACTGAGAAACTCCTATTTCCATCCATTACAGCCCAGATGAACATTGGCTGTGACAACACTGTGGTGCGCATGGTCTCCAGTGGAAAACACATAAATCGTGTGACATTTGAATATCGTCAGCTGGAACCATCTGAACTGGAAAATGAAAATGGAAACAGCATCCCAGAATTCTGTTTGTTGAGCCTTTGAATACTCAAATGACTGGTGTGCTACTAGCTAAATGTGTTCTTAATGGCTATTGTCTATAATTTTGATGACCAGCTAGTGAAAAGCTTCTCAAATCAGTCAGTATTTAGGCCATGAACATACAGACACGTTAAGTTTTTGTACTGTGCTTCCTTTCTCTTTGTAATATATTATTGAACCAAGGCACATGGCAAGTTTTCTACTGCATGGTAGGAAACAAGTTTCAACTGGAAATGTTTGTAATTTACAGGTGTGTTGCAAAACTGAACTCTTAAGTGTAAAACAATGTCGTTTTCAAGAGAAAGGACTACAAAGGAAGGAAAAAGATGTCACTAATAGTTTTCTAACAGAAAACTTCAAAGGCTTGTATATACCAAAGGAGCTGCATCTGTTTATTTTCTGTTAACAATTCTGTTAACAATAGATAGAAGTGGTAGCCATTTTTGGTTGATTTTTAACCAAACTTTGTACTTTCCATCCACAAATACAAACATGAATAAATGCATTCAAAACATTGGCATCTTGACAATATGTTTTATTTTATTTACTTATTCATTTATTATTTTTGTTGGTGCTGGTACTAGGGCTTGGACTCAGGGCCTGGGCACTCTCCTTTAGCTTTTTCACTCAAGGATGGCACTCTTATCACTTGAACCATAGCTCCACTTCCAGCTTTTTTTGGTGGTTAACTGAAGATTAGAGTCACATGGATTTTCCTACCCAGGCTGACTTTGAACCACAATCCTCAGATCACAGCTTCCTGATTAGCTAGGATTACAGGTGTGAGTTACAAGCGTCTAGCAATGTTGTACTTTGTTTTCCTGATTAGTCTTTTCCTTTGTAACCCTCAGAAAATGATGCTCTCATGTACTTCAGAACTAAATGCTAAAAGCGATTGTTAGAGATTTCTCAGAGTTGGTAGAACTCTGGACTGTTGAGATAATTATGAAGAGCAGAGGAAGAATGGCAGTGTTTGGTTGGTTGTAGAGGGGAAGCCTGGAGCAGGAATCTACTTTCCATTGGCCTCTGGAGAGACTCAGTTCATGTCTTCATCGCAGTGGTCATACTTTTCAACAAGGACAGCAAGGACCTCACAATTCTTGTAGACAATTTTCAGAAATCTGAGTACTTCTCTGGTTCTGAAAACAGTTTACTGCTCCCTGAACGTTTTGTGTTTGACAAGCAATATGTAGACAACATCTCTGAGCAAAAATATCTTCTGAAGAATATTCTGAAGTGAGCTCTTTATGTTAATGGAGGAAATTTCAAACTATGCAGTAATTAATGGCTTCATTATGATTTTCGAAACATATTTAACATAAACCTCATTCAACTATTCTAGAATCCATCAACCAAGCAGAAGGATTAAAAACTAAGGGGAAGTAGAGCTGTGGCTCAAGTAAGTGGTAGAGAGCTAGCCTTGAGCGCAATAGTGCAGTGGCAGTGTCCAGGCCCCAAGTTTAAGCCCCAGAACCAGCACACACACACACACACACACACACACACCCTGGATAAGAGTTTTGTAAAATACCTAGAATTTAGCACAAGTTTTAACCCAATAGATATTCTAGAATGAATGACTAATTTAGCAAATGGTTGAATAAATTTCTGTTGGGTGGGTGATTATATAATGCTTTATCAGCATCTACAATATTGAGTTCCTCAGTTTACTAAAAAATATTCTAGCTGGTTCCAGTAGCTCACGCCTATATTCTTAGCTATCTTATTAATAATTGCCAAGCAAGCATTAATATCACGAGTCATACCCCTTGCCCCTTTGTTTGTGAGACAGAGTCTCGTCTCATTAACATTGCCTGATCTGTCCTTGCAAAAGTGTACACAACATACAACACTCCTGGATCTGCTTACAGAGTATCTGGGACTGCAGTTGTATGTACCACCACGTTCAATTATAGCTTACATGCTTCAAGAGGATAGCCACTCTTAAGAGTTTTCATTCCAAAAAGATGGAGTAGGTTTTTGAAAACAAGACAAGAGGTGAGATTTCTGGGGGGAAATTCCAGGGAGTCTTGGAGTTCTTTCACATCCACTGAGTGAGTATATTGGGCAAACTTGCCTTTCTTTTCCTTTTTTTTTTGGTGCCAGTCCTGGGGCATTAACTCTGGACCTGGGTGCTTTCCCTGCACTTCTTTTGCTCAAGGCTAGTGCTCTACCACTTGATCCATAGCTCTATCTCAACTTTTATTTATTTTTATTAGTTTGTTGGAGATAAGAATCTCACTGTCATTTTTGCCCAGGCTGGCTGTGAATTGAATATCAGATCTCTACCTCCTGATTATACCTCCAGATCTCTACCACCTCTCAGGAGGTATAAGCAATCCACTCAAACCTGCTTTTCTGAGAAAGGTCATTGAGCAATGTCATTAAGATCATTCGGGCTCTTAAAATTCCAACTTTGCCACTTACTTGAGTAAGTCACTTACTCATTTTCCATCACTGAGTTTTTTTTTTAATATGTATCTTCTTCATAAGCTTTTTTTTTCAAAATGAAATGTTTAAATCTATCTAAAACCTAAAAAATATATATACATATATATATCATATATATATATATATTTATCTAAGACCTATGTGAGGGCTTAAGAGTCTCTGTCCTCTCTTCAGCATTAGTTGCAAACACTCCTTCATTTGCTTGTAATTGGTTGTATTGTAGTAAATGAAATCTTACTGCTTTTCTGTTATTTAATTTTGCCTTTTACTAGATGAATCTTTATCTGCCATGTAGTTTTTCTCAGGATTGAAATTCAGTTGGCTCAGTATGAAATTTGGTGATAAAGGATTTTTCTAAATCTTCATTTTTTTGCCATTTTAATAGTAAAACAGTGTTTGCCTGCAAAGTAGAATGTTCAGGAAAGAAATATAAAGGTTTGATGGACAGGATTTACTTGTAGGCAGTGTGTTGATGTGCTCAAAACCACCCAATAAGAGATTTGGGGAAAAGAGCTCCGATTATAGTTAATCATAGGAAATGATATCTCAGTACACTCTTATTTGTGCCACTATTGCAGAAAGAGACACACTATTGTATCTTCTGATAAACAGATAGAGGGCTTGTGTTCTAATGGGTCATTTGTACTGATTACCATACATTTTCCTCTTTGCATCCAAGTATTTAGTGTGTGTATTGTGTGTGTGTGTTTGTGTGAAGACAAACTACACAAAGAGAGAGGATCCAGAGATAGGACACAGGAAATCTGGGTGAGAGAAAGAAGGCTTGATTACAGGGTTTGAACACATAAAATCAAAGTCTCTAAATTGGACTCTAGGCTTTGCTCTTAGTGACAGCAGTGTTGCCAGTTGCTCAGCTGAGCAACAGAAAACAGGAAGTATCTTATGCTTTAGAGGAAAGACTCAGTGTTGATGCTAGGACAGGAAGTCAGCTGAGCAGGACAGAACTATAACCCTCATCACCAAATGAGTTATCAGATATTGGAGGTTCCCAGTGAGGAGGAGTCACCCTGCTGATTCTCCTCAGATTTCTAAGAACCTTTCCCCTGTCTTGATGGTTAATGGTTCAGATGCAGTCTAGGCGCCATGTGCACAGGCCAAGGATGTGGCTACCTAGGTGAGTAAAAGTTCCACGTGACTGAAAATATCGTCTTTCACCGAAATTGCATTGCTTTCAGTGCTTTTCCTTGTGTTCTTTGTTTTATTTTTTATAATTAATTTACTTTATTGTTATTATAAAAATGATGTACAGAGGGATTACAATTATGAATCAGGTAATAAATATATTTCCTTTCATACAGTGTCTTTTGTTTCCTCCCTCCATCCCAGTCCCTCACCTCCACTTACAAGTTGTATGGTTCATGTTCATCAGTGTCCAGTGAGCTCTCCTGCTGTACTTTTTCACGCTTTTCCCCTTGAGTTCTGTTGCTTGCTTTCTTTAGAATGTATATTTAACAAAACAAGTGATTTACTTGTACCTGTAATTAGTTACTTTTCTTGTGGCTGGGTCAAAATACTGATGTAAACACCTTATGGGAGAGGGGAAGGATTTCTTTTGGCTCAGAGTTTTGGAGATTTCAGACCACAGTCTCGTTATTTCTGGGCCTGTGGCAAGATAAAACATTATGATGACAGAGCATGTAGAAAAGAGACCATTCTCCTCATGGTGGACAGGAAGAACTGGGGGCCAGGTAGAACTTTCCAAGACTTGTCCAAGTAACTTGTTTTCTTCAACTAGGCCCCATCTCCTAACGTTTTTACAACTTCCCCAAACAGCAACACCAAAAGAGGACAAAGTGCTCAAGCTGTGAGCCTGTGGGCGATATTTTCATACTCCAATTGTATAGCATCTGATGGTTTCAAAGATTCAAATACCAAGAGGTAATTAGTCAGTGGTTGGCCTTGCAACTTGGTGCTTATCATTATGATATGCTGTAGAAACAGCAGACAGATGCTGAATAAAGAAGGGGGTAGTGATATTAAGAGTTAAGAAATACCATAAAAGAAACAGACTCAGGGGAATGCTCCACTCAAAGCTATCTGGCCAGCTAACAAGAGACTAATGGAGGTGCAGGCAGGCTGGAAGTTCTAAAAGGTATAAAATGAAAGCTCATCAAATATAAATTTCATGTACAACTTAGTCTTCATGTATGCATATAAAGGACTGGACTATATACACCCTCCTTACCCTCTCTGTTTGCCCTCTCCCTTATCCTAGTCATTCATTTTAAAGAATGGCATCTTGCCCATGTGAAATGGATGGGAGCAGCTTTAGAAGCAAGACCTAGACCTGTGAGTACAGACTTCATAAAGAACCTAGGCTGGGGAACCTAGACCTAGGGTTGAGTTCTGACTCTGCCACCAACTAGCTGTATGCCCTTGGGCAAGTTGCTGCACCCATCCACCAGCTTCCTCAAATACAGAACAGTTGTACCTACCATATAAGTGGTAATTTACATGAAGTACTGAGTTCTTGTCTAGATACATGGAAGACACTGTGTATAGTGTGATCCCTTTCCTGGAGATATCATCAATTACATCTTTGGGAATATAATTTCATCTCATCTTAAATACTATAAATAATTTTACCAGTTACTATTATACTCCCCCCTCCCCCTGGTATTCAGGTCTGAACTCAGGATCTCATGCTTGCTTGCTTGGTTGAAACTCTACCATTTGGACCATAGGTCTAGCCTAGCTTTTTGCTGGTTATTTTGGAGATGGGTCTTATGGAATTTTCTGTCCAGACTGGTCTTGAACCAAGCTTCTTTGGATCTCAGCCTTCTGGGTACTTATAATAATGGATGCATCCAGCTTATTTTTTTCTGTTTTCGTCAGCATATATTAGTGTGCAAGGGAGTTCATGGTCTTATTTACATATATGTTTACAAGGTATCCCCATCAACTTTACCCCACCATCATTCTTCCTGATTCACCCTCCCCTTCTGAACACAGTCTTCATTGTTCTATTTCATGTATGCATATAAAGGACTGGACTATATTCACCCTCCTTACCCTTTCTGTTTTCCCTCTCCCTTATTCTAGTCAT